TGTACCACAAGTTTCAACCTTTTCAGTACCACTGAGGTAGTTTACTGAGCAGCGATTTTGGTCAAAACAATCTGCATCGTGAGGCGAACAATGTTCGTGTTGGTGTATTTGTCCTTCCAGACCAACTTGTCCTAATTTCTGGGCCCAGAGGGGGGTGGGTTGTTTTGTTGACTTTGGATTAATTAGACTCTACCAAGCGAGTAAGCCTGACATTCCATTCTTCTAAGCTGAGGGCTGCTTAACGTCCGATTTAATTTTTATGAATTCGACTGTGCTCATAAAATTCGTGGAAAATATGAACTAAAATTAGAAGGAGATTAGACCCTAGACCCTAGAACTGAGTCGATCTTTACTTCATTTTTAGGGGCGATATCTGCAATTTTGTCGGAAACAATTATTCTTTGAACTTTGGCTTCGGTCGATGATGATTTCGTTGGCCGGTGCGTAAGCTGTGAAAAATGGCTTGTTTTCGGACGTTGGCCTGTGAATAACATCGTATGCATCCGACGTGTTCTACACGCTTCAGTTACACTTCTGATGCTCTTTGTTTGCCGTCGTTGACCGACTGAGTTTACTCATTGGCTTAAGATAAGCTGACAAGGTGTCATCGCGTATGAGAGTGCAGTCATCAGTTAACGTCTTCGATCGCCTTTGAGAAATTCGATTAATTCTTTTTTTTTCACAAGTCCGTAGGGAATCTTCACTGTACGATTCGAGTCTCGCCCAGTACGTGGGGGGGGGGGGCATATGTCACTGCAGCCTGAAGAAATACCAATTTCTGCAGTTGGAGAAAATCTTCGGGGTGCGTGAACCGTTTTGTTTCCGCCTTTACACCCATTTTCCCGTGTTTCCACCCCTGCGAGAAATTTTATTACTTTAGGCTATAAACAGTCGCACAGCACGCTCTACCCCTCCATAGTGGTGAAGGCCCTAAGATTTCATTTGCATAATAATTTTTCATGGTACCGCTCAACATGGTGTTTAACACGCTACTCTTGCAGGGCAACTTCACAACTACTGAAAATGTATAATAATTATGTTAAACCGATCTTTCCTTCCCTGTTGTACCCTTTTATTCGCCCGCAAGGCACATTCGAGAAGCCGGAAACGACTTGTCATCATCACATCGTCTATCCCATTCTCCGCTGTAAAACGCAGTCCCTATGCTGCTAAGCATACTTTTGTGCCCAGTCTTACTATCGACAACTCGATGCTGGCCAACATCTGTTCCCTGGAACATTGTATATGTTTGTGATTCCTTCTAACGGCTTAAAACAATATTTGCGACATTTAATTCGTTTTTTTACAATTTTAATTTGAGCACAAGTGTTTTGCTGTTTGTGGTCTGCTTGAGAAACATTCGACCTTTTGGGGAATCCACTTTACAGAACCCTTATGAATGCCGGAAGAGATTACGTCGGAATTTTTTTCTTTTCTCAAAGATATTCCTGCTTCCTTGTTTGTCGAATCAACCTCTGCTTCGTAGTTCTTTCATCCGGCAAAACATTCTATGCAACTTCTGATACCGATTAACGTTGACAGACTGCTTGGCGTCGACCGCGTAACGCGTCTCACTTTGCGCACCCTCGTGGGACATTGTGTGACGGTAACGCGTCCCACCCAAGTCATCTCTTTTTCTTGCGCTTGTGCGACTTATTCCTAGGTCTTTGTACTCATTCTATAGGTCATACATTAGCATACTTAAAAACCACATGGCTCACAGAAAGGCCAAATATTCTTTAGTTTGGCAGAGTTTTCCAGACCTTACGGATATGTCTGTTCAGTTCATTCCTCGTTTTCTTTTCAATAACGTAACATGTTGATAAAAAGGAATAACAGAAGTGAATACAAACCTATTCGTATGGGAAGATATGTGTTTTACTGAAACAACCACGTCCAAATTAATTTTGGAACCACTAAAGGGAAATTAAGTAAAATTTCCCTTTTCATGGCCTTAACACGTCATTTCGGTCAAACTTCCATTACTGTAACTCCTGATAAGCTAGACAGATCGAACATCATTGAAAACATTTCATCGCATCTAAGTATTGCGTATTTACAGCTCAAAATCCATGGATTTGGTGTGCGGCGGCTGCGCTCGCAAAATCGCTCTTGTCCCACGCGGTGCAAAAGCACAAAACGCGCGATGTCGTCAACGTGTTAACAGATGTGTAATGTGTTTGCTATGAACTACTACAGTAATACATCGATTTGAATCTTAAAGGCAGTGATCACGATGGAAGGAAGGCGTTGCATTTTCGATGACGTCATTGAATGTCATTGGTGGGAGGGCGTCAGGGCTGTCTCAACCACATTCCCCTGGTATGCCGAGGGTTTCAGTCCACCAATGAAGTTCAATTAGGTTATCAAAAGCGCACCGCTTTCCAACCATCATGGCCAGTGCCTTTGATGTTTCGAACGTGAACCTTTCGACCTAGTGAACCAATAGCGAAACTTACTTTTCTTCTAGTTCCTACGCTTTGAATCTGACTGGAAGAACTTGCCCTCTTATAGGCGCTCATTAGCTATTGAAGCTCAGGCTTCTTCTTTTCTGGAGTATTTTTGGAGCTCTACCATTCCCCGTGATATTAAGGACTTGAAAACGAAAGCGATTGTCTTGGGGCATACTTGTTATTATGAAAAACTATTTTCAAAGTGTTTTTGCAGTGGCCTGTCTATATTTGCAAATATATTTTTGATATTTGTCGTGCCACGTGACAGAGTAGGCTGGAAATGGGCGATTCTCTTGGAAACTGATGTTGATGGTGAATTACGTGAATTGGTTCGCCCTTGGAAATCATGCCCTTTATGGGAGTTCATTTGTTTTCCACGTGACAATGCTTGTTTGACTTTTAACCAGCGTTATGTCGCGTATCTCAACGTCCTTCTAATTGTCAGCGACTAAATGCAATTATTTATGTCAGGCGAATTGAAATTTACTGAATTTACTTTAACCCATTCGCGACCGCGCAGGATTGCGCAATAGCAGGAGAGTCAGGAGATTTTTCTTCAATAAAATTTGAGTGGATGGAGATTTCCCCTGCCCAGGGCTGGCATAGATGAATGAGGGTATGAAGATTCTTTTCAGGAAAGAAAACTTTCCAAATTCCATTTGAAACACGGCAGCCACCGGTGGATACCATTGTACAAGGGAGCTCTTTCACGAATGGGTTAACAAGCCTTGCCTGGTGGCATGGTTAACTTACCAGAGTAGATCATTACATGCAAAGATGTCTATAAACTCAATTTTGCGCCCATGCGCCCAGTGTGTTCCTCCACCGGTGCATCCCTGCCCCATCTTCTAGCGTACATGCTCTTGTCTGCTCCGCTTAGCCCGCATTGCGGTGGTCGTCCGCGTGCAATTGGTATTGTGGAGCTCATTTAGGTGCAGTGCGTTTGCGCGCGCTGCTGGATATTTCCACCCATCCTCATCATCATTACTTGGAATTACTGGTAACAGTCATCATTTCTCGATTGTGTTGGCAGCAGTAATCGATCTCGTTTTCATAAAATATACGGCTTCAATATGCTCATTATTGTACGTGTCTGGAACGTGTTTATCGATTTACCGGATGAATTCAGCCCAAATCAACTTAGGTTACCCACATGAGAGAAACCTATGGTGTTTGGATCATTTCTAAGTTTGACGTCCGCATTGTCGTTATGCTTAAATGGGACTGATTGTAACAATGGTTGTAAGTTCAAAAGTATACTACTAGTATTTTATTTTTCTGAATTGGTTAAAGGTTTAGTCGGTTTTAAAGTTGAGATTTTTTCAGCTATTGTTGCTCAACCTCCTCCGGTTATCGAATATGGTCATCAGAATCAGACGTTGATGGTCGGCTCATCAGCCACGTTACCATGCCAGGCAAGTGGTCGAACACCGCCGAGGATCTCATGGCTACTTGACGGAAATCCGGTCGATACCAGCAAGGATAATCGCTACAGTCAGCATTCGAGTGGCAGTCTGCATATTGCGGATCTCAAGTGAGTACTGTAGTTACTTATGTAAGAGTGGCATCAGGGCAAGCGCATCAGGTTGCATTACGCGATGTTAAACTTCTTAGTGAATTCTAATTGAAGATCCCCTTACCCGAATTTCCCGCGTCGTTGAGTTGCGTCGATGGCATATTTGAGGCGTTTATGACACCATCGTTGAGTTAACGATTCTAAGGTCCAGGAAGAGTGTTTGCATTTGCGGAGGGTCGGGTACTACTTGTGATTCTACCCCCCCCCCCTCCCAACCTATCTTCTAGGTTTGACGTGCGCATTGTCCGCAGGAGGAGATCAAAAAAGTAGTCCGACCTTCGCCAGTTTGCCAAAAACAGTTCTTCAGGTCGTTTCGTTGTAAGGCAGTCGGTGATTTTTAGGGTTCTAAATCCTAATGATCTAATCTAGGCAGCGAGGTTTTTCCACTGAACTCCTGTGGAATGCCTCTAGCCCCACTTTGGATCCGAAATGATTCCATTCCGTCACTCAATTTTCGGTGAATTTTCAATTAGATCCAAATTTGTTGAAATCATAGCTGCAAGTCCAGCTGTCGTAAATAAATAGCAAAGCCTAAAGCTTCCACTAAAGCAGATTGTGGAATCTTCCTTTTTTCAGCGTTTTGTCGGAAATTTCAAATTATTCGTGCAAATCTTTGGGTATTGAACACGTGTGAACACCAAGATAAGGGGGTTCGAGTCCCGCCTGAGATGGAGGGTTTTGCACTACTGTTTTCTTGTGGTAACATATGTGAATGTTGTTTTGAAGGTAAACCTTGTTGGTTGTGGCTTTAGAGCAGCAGAAATGAAATATTTATCAGATATTTCTAGTTAGCGTGTTGGCGTTCCCAGCAGTGCGGTGTTGATTACTCGGGTCTTTAGGTAATACCGTATCTGTCGATCAAACCAGGTGAGCGAGCGGCCTTCGGCTCAATCTAGCGGTCCTTCGGCTGGCAGTTTATGAATGACGTATCACTGCTGTATGACAGAAGATATGCATCACAGAGTCCATTCATTTGCGTAATATCTGCAGCGCCGGATCTCCGTGGATCAGCTGTCTGCAATATGATATGCATCCGGAGAGGAGACTCAGGATTGCCGCCGACGGCACCGCGTAGCGTAGCGCGCATTTCCGAAAGGCGCTCGTTGATGAGCCACGGAACGTGTGTTGAACGCGTTGATGCGTGTAATGTGCGGCTTCGTTTTCGAGCTCGTTAACGGATCGTGTCGCCAGCAGATCGCATGTCGTGAGTGGATTCGGGCCACGTTACGCCGACGTAAATCCAGGATTTAGGGTCTGGATTGGCGCGTGGTGTGTGCACAAGGGGGTCGTTAACCTGGTGCGGTTACGTGTTTGCGGTATGGTTTTTGTGTTTATCACGTGTTTTACAGCACTGTTTTACGCGAATGTCTGGGCAACAAAGGTGTACCGGTTTGTAAAGCGCTTGATCCGGTGCTCTTTACTGGTTTATGAGTCCATATAGTGGAGAAGACAACAGGACCAGTTGAGCCCGCATATAAGTGCGCTGAGCTCGTTGGGTTGGCCTTGAGGGTGAACCAAAAGTAGGGGATGTGAATAAGGGGAGCGAAGAGAAGGAATTTTTTCGCAGAAATTGTTCAATTATTCTCTGTTTTTCAATATCAGTGATTTTTTTTTCAGAAAATCTGATACGGGTGTTTACACATGTCGAGCAAAGAACGATGATGGAGAATCGACCTGGACAGCTTCGTTAACCGTTGAAGGTACTAAAGACTCTAAACGAACATTTTTGAGTGTGTGAAAATCTGAAAATTCGCAAGCAAGTTCAGATGATTTTGAATAATTCTATTTTATTAATCGTGATTTCAGATCACAATACGAAATCGGTTTTCTCTCGAATGCCAGACCGATCAAACTTCCCATCGGCGCCATCACAACCTATCGCCAGCAACGTTTCAGACAGTGAGGTGAGTAGGAGTTTCCCAATCAAAATTTGTTATTTTTGATATTCCCTTACTAGTTGTTTACCATTAATTTGGCTGGTTTCATTGTTCCTCAATATTTATGCAAGTTATAGTGTCGCTCTTGTAATTAGTTTGAATAACTGAAAATTGTTTTGGAGATTTCTATCAGCTCCCACGGCCTATTTGATAAGCTATAGGCTTTCTTGAAGGAGTTGATCCAACATCAGAAATACGGTGTAAATTAATTGAATTTTTTGATATCTCGTATATAAAAGCTAGTAAATCCAGTTTTCCCAGCAATTCATTGCCGAGAGCGCGGCACACATGCTTACCGCATTTCACGTAAACTTTTCAAGTTTTTCGCTACATTCACGGTTTAAAATCAAATATATGTCTTATATTAATGGGTACGGCAAATAGTAGTATACTTACTTTAAATAATGAGGTTATTAGCGAAGTAGTAAAATTTGATCAAAAAAAATTGCTAAAAGGATGGGTAGATGCGCATATGACGGGTGTCGCCAACGAACTGATATTGTTACTTTTTCTTTTCTATCTGCTCAAGCTGAGTGAATACCGTTTTCTAGGTGGATTTGGAATGGCGAGCCCCGGAACGAAACGGAGGTAGCCCAGTTACCGGCTATATTATCCAGTTTTTCAGTCCAGATGTGGGAGAGGTTGGTACCGCTTTGATTCTTCTATCTGTTGCATTGATATTTCACTGAATTTTAGACTTGGCTCAACGTTCCGGACTACGTTTCGGGCCCACGATATCGTATCAAGAATTTGAGACCATCACAGACCTATGTGTTCGTCGTTCGAGCGGAAAACGAAAAAGGCATTGGACCTCCAAGCCCAATTTCGTCGGTTGTGAACACGTTGACAAGAAATGCTCATTGTAGGTTGATAAGATTATTTTTGCCACATGATCGCAAGAAACGAACCATTTGGCCTATTAGGGGGAGATTAAATTAGAGGAAAATAAATTTGATTTTGCATCCTGGAGTCTCCCCGCCCGAGAATTGGTCCCGTTCATAGAAAAAAGAATGTTTTACGTGGTTTCAAATGTGCTGCTGCTCTGCTTTGCAATAGAGCCGATTTGATAGATTTTTACAAAAATTGTCTTCTTGCATGATGTTATTTCGAAACTGATCGGTTCAGTACGGTAGTCGGCCCTTATAGCGCTTGTATATGAAATAGGCGAACTAATTATGTTTACTGTCAAACTTATATTCATATGAAACGTTTAACGTTCAACGATTTAAGATTGAAAAGGTGAGTTCAGTGTTGTGAGAAATTAGGCCGCGGAAAACTAAGAAAGCAAACCCGCAAGAAATTGGGCGCATGGAACGAGCCGCCGCTCTGCAGAGACAGAAGTGTGACGTTCCTCCACCGGCACTACCTTCACCGCGATCGGTCTAGGTGAAAATCGGAGGAGTAAAGCAACACAAACTCCTTCCACGCATCCAGGATCTTGAATGTCAAAGGGTGCCACTCGAGTTTGTCACATTTGTGGCTTGGATGGGTTTTAACACATTGACGACATTGAGACGCGGTAACGCGTCTCACTTTGCGCACCTCGTTGGACATTGAGACGCGTTACCGCGTCTCACCCTTATCATCCCTTTTTCTAGGGCATGCGCAGCTTTTTCCCGAATTGTTTGTCTCTCTTCTATGGATTAGAACATAACATTATTGTGAACGACATAGGTCATTGTTTGTTCAAATATGCTCCAGTTTAGAAGAAGTTTTCCAAGCTCACCGAAACCGGCGGCTTGGTTCATTAATAGTTTTCATGCTATTCTCATGAACACGTCAATAAAAAAGGGTAGTGAAAGTAAATGCAAATCTAAAGAGACAGAAAAATACATGCTTCACTTGGTATAACCACATCAAAAGAGCTTTTGGCATCCACTACAGATAAAATGACTAAAATTTCCTTTTTCATTACCATTACATGTTCTTTAATCGGAACTTCGTCACTATATACTCTATTACCTTCTACGCATTGACTGTTACTGAGATGTTTTTGTACCACTGGTGCTTTAAAAAGTTATCAATAAAAATTCACGGATCCGAGGTGCGGCGGTCGCACTCGCAAAATCGGCCCGGTCCCACACGGCCAAAAAAGCCAAAACGCGCGCGGTCGTCAATGTGTTAAATGTCTCAAATCAGGGTGACTTCGCCGCGATTCATTACGTTAATGACAGAGATATAAATAGGCACAAGCCCGGGTTTACACTGGTTCTAGGAGCGCTTCGTATTTATGGCTTAGCTGCGCAACAACCTGAAAGTAGAGAGGAAAGCAGGAGAATTCTTTAAGAACGCTGAAATTAATGCTTCACCCATCAATAAGGTCGGATGTGGTACGATGGCGAGATCGTATAACGAAAAGAACCAAAATACCGCGCGTGATTTTCACACATCTCTCGCGGAGGTGGGAAGCGCTGGCAAGGGGTCGATGGTTGCAGGCCCGTAAGGATTATCGCCCTAACTGCGCAATTTTTGCGACGAAGGTGGAGTGGATCTAGATAGGTACGGACCGCAAAATTTCCCTCGCGGTATCCTTCTTACTAGTCAGACCAATCCCAGGGTTTGCATTTAAGCTATTGACGCTTTGACGACAGCGTGACGCGCATGCGCGTCAAAATTTCACCCAATTTTGGCCAGTTTTTTTATTCATTTGGCATTTTTTGACTCTGGCAGCGACCCCACTAGGGTTTTTTATTTTAGGCCCTGAGGAAGGTGAAGAAGCCGAAACGTAAGCCTTATAAAAGTTCAATCTTGAAAGGCTTGAAGAATCATTCTTACTGAACTAATCATGCCAAGATTGCAAGAAGGCGAACATGGAATATTCTTCCAACAAAAGGTTTGCCTTTCAGTGTCAGCTGACGATTTGGAGAATCTGGATCTGGAACAAGCAACAAGGCGAATCACCTCAGAGCAGCTTATCAAGCTCGAAGAAGTGAAAACCATTAATTCGACAGCGGTTCGATTATTCTGGAAGCGCAAAAAGATCGAAGACATGGTTGAGGGGTATTACATCAAATGGCGCGGTCCACCGAGGAGTAATATAAACCAGTAAGTTATTCGTATGACTTCCCCCTTTTGAGCTCTCTAATTTTTTTGTGGATTTTTAATGTCATTTTGGTTGATTTCAGATGGGTGAATGTTAGTGGTGCACATGTGGAATCGTACGTGGTGAACGGCTTAATGCCTTTCACTAACTACGAGTTTTTCGTCATTCCTTATCACAAATCAATTCAAGGTGCTCCAAGTAACTCCATGGACGCCTTAACAGCTGAAGCTCGTAAGTATTCATGAGAAGTTCAATAGCTCTCCTATTTTTAATTCTTGAACAAAATGGACGATTTTTTGGAATATGAGTGCAGTTAATTAATATGAATCTATTGGCCAGACGTGCTGTATCGACTTTCTCTACTTTTGCAACCTTAAGCCAAAATAAGGCATTAGCCCAGCAATGATATCATCAGAGCCTTTCAAGATGATTTGGTGATTGCGTGTGCATCAGCACAAATCATGCATATTGATTGGCGCTGTTGCTTGAACAAATCACTGTCAGCTTCTATTCAAGTCAAATTTTGAATTCATGGGAAAACAGACCTGCACGTTGCTTTTTTTGTCTTTTTTCTCTAATTATTCTTGTTATTCCTATAATATCATGAAGTCCGTCATTGTAGTTGTTACTTTTATTTTTATTTGCATTTTATTTTATTTTATTTTCTAATTACACTGGTACCGGTTCAGCACCATCATTACCGCCATCGGACGTACATATCCGAATGTTGAATTTAACTACTCTTCGTATCGGGTGGAGAGCACCACCGGCTGATGGTATGATGCATTTCAAGGTTTTCAGTGTGGGGTACGTTAATTTTTTATTAATCTACTTTATTTACAGCATTCTGCTAGAAACTAAACCTATCAAGGTCCCCGTTGCGGTGTGAAACCTAAAATTTTCCTATAGAGTTGCCATTTTTTGCCGTCCTTGTGTATTTTTGTAGTTCTCTCTGTTGGCATTGACGTTGAATAGAATGGCGGCCAGTGAGCACCACGGTGCGAATCACGAAATGTTTTGTGCACCGGTATGCGATCAATCGTTGTCAGGCTAGGGATGTTATTGAGGAGGAAAAATGATCGAAGATAGCTGCCAGTAGTACATGCTATAACGGGTTTTGTATACTCACAAATCTTTTTTATGAAAGAGGTTTGGAACGACGGCTGCTTCCAGTGAGGATAGATGAGTGAAGCTTCACACTTGACGCGTGTTCGCATGGATGGGGGGGGGCGGGGGCGGGCGATGCGGGATGGGATGACGTCATGAAACGTACATTGGTGGGGCTAAGCGCATAAGCGGCTGAGGGTTGTGCTTGGTTGCTCTCCCCCCCACCCTTCCCAATGGCGATTTAGCGACGTCCCGAAGAGTACCAGCATGTACTTATGCCTTTAAGCTGTATCGGCATTAACCTATAACTGATGATCCGTAGGCTTTCGGAATTCCCTCTGGATTAATAATACTTTCTGTACATTTTTCATTGCTTTATTTCGAATATTTAATATATTTTTTCCAGATCGTAATCTTGGGAAAGGGCACCAAATTCAATCGGAATATAACAACAAACGAAGCGAGCAGCTAGTGTGACGCTGTTCCATTTGATCCCTGGTATGACGTACAAAATCCGAGTTGCAGCGCGTACCAACGCTGGTATTGGTGTTAGTCATGGCACGGATACTGTCACTATGAGTAAGTGTTCAGTTCTATTTTTTTTACTTTGATACTGGGTATTGTAAATATCTTTCTTTTGCATATCATCACATGTCATTATTGCTTCATTAAACTATGATCTACTAGTAATTTTTTAGCAGTTATACATGCATTTTCCCCATTTCCGAAGAATTTACTTCTGGAATGTGAAAAAAGGCGAAACCAAATTGAAAACTCAGATCCGGCTGGTCGCATGCACCACATGGTAGCGCGCGCCCTTGGAGTACTCTCTTCCAGTGTTAACCGTCAATGTGAAGATCCAAAAAAAAACTTTTTACCGTTCTCTTAAGGGGTCCCGATACGACACATGAGGGGGTCCATCCCCTCACGATCCATCACCACTATCCACCCCCATCGTTGTTTCTGTTGTATTTGATTTTGTGAGACTAGATATCATTCTCCACCTCCTTCCAGAAATTTGTCTATGCCGCGGGCGAGGGCGGGGAGGAGGAAGGAGGACGGTGGTACATCTCACTGTTTGAACGAGAAATGCCCTCATTTTGCCCATTCCGTGCATTTTTCATGAAAAGTTTGGATTTCCCAGTCAAACGACCACCTCTCCCTCTGCTCTTCCTCTAACCTGCAGCATGACTCGATACAAAACTCTCAAATACCCCCCATACCACCTCCTCCCCCCACCGTTGATTGGCACAACGGACGGCTGATTCTGCTCTGTTTTCATACCCCACATCGACTTATCAATTTTTCCTCTCGATTCATTTTCTTTAATTAACTATTTTCTTTGTATGCCCACAGGTACAGCGAGCTGTCCTGTATGTTAACATTTTCCGCACCCGCGATTTCACGCGAAAAAAGCTTAATTTAGTCTGATTTCTTCGCCCTTTTTGAGGTTACTGAACTACTTGCAGTTATTTTCGGAGCCGAAGCTGGGAAATAATAGGTGCCATAATAAAGAATTGTTGATAGATTGATGGTGATTCATTTAAAAAAGCGATACGGGGATTCTCAACAGCAGGCGGTCCGCATTTCGTCAAGTAATTATTTATCAATAATGAATGAATTTTTGTGTGGCAGATGCCGTCCACAACTTCTTCCCACCTTCCTTTCCTTGAAATTACAGTATTTTTCCCTGCTTTTCCCCATCCTATAGAATTGTGTTTTCAGATCAGGAAACCCTTGACAAGCATCTGAGTCTGCACAGTGAACAAGAATCGTTTTTGTACTCATTATCGCGTCAATCATGGTTCGCTCTACTTGTGATGTTGCTCGTATGCGTATTTTTGATTCTGGTCGCAATATTTGTGTTCTGGTACTATAAAAACAGCAAAAACGCCAAGGTAAGTCAGATTGACGTCGATGTGGTGTGTCACTACTACTGCTTTCTGTGAGCACGTACAGCTAGTGTGACGCTGTTCCATTTGATCCCTGGTATGACGTACAAAATCCGAGTTGCAGCGCGTACCAACGCTGGTATTGGTGTTAGTCATGGCACGGATACTGTCACTATGAGTAAGTGTTCAGTTCTATTTTTTTTACTTTGATACTGGGTATTGTAAATATCTTTATTTTGCATATCATCACATGTCATTATTGCTTCATTAAACTATGATCTACTAGTAATTTTTTAGCAGTTATACATGCATTTTCCCCATTTCCGAAGAATTTACTTCTGGAATGTGAAAAAAGGCGAAACCAAATTGAAAACTCAGATCCGGCTGGTCGCATGCACCACATGGTAGCGCGCGCCCTTGGAGTACCCTCTTCAAGTGTTAACCGTCAAT